CACACACACACACACACACACACACACACACACACACACACACACACACACACACACACACACACACAAAGAGAAACAGTCACTTTTAGGATCTCATTAACAAACAGCTGCTCAAGCCTCAAAACTCTCGCCACCAAACAAACCAGTTTCACCTTCGTCCACCTCCAGGGTCTGGGAGAGGGTGGCGTCCTCGTAGTCCTCGGTGACGGGGTGATCCGTGAAGCCCAGGACCGGGGTTCTGGTGGTACCCTCAACAGGTGGGTCTCCAGACATGGTGTCCTGGTGGTCCCTGCTGGTTAAGGAGGGGTTTAACACCATCTCTGTAAAACAAATAAAAACTGTCTGAACAAAAGGGCTCTCTGTCTATCGTCTGAAAGGTGAAGGTGGATGAGAGCGTTTGACCTGTGGCTGTTTGGGGGGTTCTATGGAAGAGCTACAGTCTGGTTCTTGTCTCGCTGCTCAGAACAACGTGTCTGTAGACGTTTGTCTGTTTGGACCTCAGGTGTTTCTCAGCTCTTTTCTTCTTCTCCCAAACCAACCTTGTCTGACATTCCTCTCCTCTCAGCTTTGAGACTTTTCACACTCCTGCAGCAGACCTTGTTTCTCTGAGCTGCGCCTTTCAGGGCCCGGCTTTCGAAAGAAAAAAGAAAAAAACTCCCCAAAACTGAAGAGTCTAAAAACGACCCTAACGGCTTTCTGATTGCGGTTGCGCTCACCTGTCTGCTAACTGAACGTCACTTTTCTTTAGAGAAATCCAGAGGGAAAATTTGATCGTCATCCTGACTGGAAAAACAAAAAACAAACCCCTTGATGCAGAAGCCCACCCATTTAGACACCAAGTGATTTACTCATCCCGGTCCTCAGCTACCTGAATTCCAGCACGACCACAATCAAAACATGTTTACATCCACCGCGCTCCTTCAGTAACGGCCTTCATCTTTGCTCTGATTGGTCATTATTTTAGAAACATTCCTAATTTATGGCGCCCTCGTGATGCATGTGATAACATATTAAAAGAAACATCCGTGTGTCAGATGTGTGACCAAGTAAAACTCTGAAACGCACATTTGATGATAGTATTTGGTGTTGACTCAGAGCTGTGCGCTGCTTCCTGTCCTGGAGCTGGATTAAGGTCTGGAGGCTGAGGGCCGCAGCCAGCTCCTCCATCAATGAGGCCTTCAGCTGAGGCCACAAAGGGCAGCTTGTGCACCCACCCACCCCCACCGCGGGCCCCCGACAGCCTGCAACCAGAAACAGCCGGCCAGGGCCCAAAAGTGGCCACCGGCTGGACTCTGGATGTCAAACAAACTTGTTTATTAAATAGTCTCAGTGTGGAAAAGGCTGCGCCCTCTGAACACCGTGGTTTAATAAAATAATATCAGTGTTTTCTGTGGGCGTTTGTTTCCAGCCGGACGGCTTTACTCAAACCTGAGATTCCCCAAAACACGGCGGGAAACAAACAGAACTTCCAGAAAACATGACGGCGACTCGACGTCCTTCGACCGTCGGCGCCGACATTTGAACCCTCATCATAAAATACTTTAATATTTTAAACAAACGTTTGTT